GAAATCAGGGGTGTCATTGTATTTTTTCTTTTAGAAATTTTTGGTGGTGACATTGGTCCCTGTAACGAAAGGATCATTTTTTTCTCCGAAAATTTTTTGATACAACGGAACGGAATCTAATGTACAGTCCTACCGAGGAAATAAGTGTTCATCTCGGATTTGAGCTTACATTTCATATAAATACAGGGTTTGCGTTTAATAAACTACTGGATCTCTTCAAGTGCAATCAAATCTTAGGATAGAACGGGGAGGGGCGAAGGGGAAAAGTGGGGCAGGGGGCATGGACGGGTGATGAACTTGGCTCCACGAAGAAGGGAGGAAAAACTTCTGCACGGAGAAAAAAACTTCGTGTATGGGACCCGAAGTTGAGGTCATATGGATCTCTGAAGTTTTCGGATCTTGCGTCCGAAAACTCGAGGCCCAGCAGCTTAAGTTCGTGTCATATGTCTGAAGTACTTCGGATTGTACCGGCGAATTTCAAATTTGTGACCCGAACCCTTCGGTATATAACAAAGTACTTCAGATTTTTGATCCGGACTTCGGCAACCGACCTCAAGTTTTCGAACGCGAGATCCGAAAACTTCAGAGAACCATATGACCTCAACTTCGGGTCCCGCACACGAAGTTTTTTTCCCCGTGAGAGAGTCTCTTAAAATGCTGATAAATTGATCAACATTGTACGTCCTTCTACCAGGTTAAACCATGAACATAATAAATAAAATCAAAAGAATATATGAGGCACGCAAATCCTGCATCTAATAGTTTTGCTTGATTAAGTTCATTCGTACATTAACCTTTCAGTATGTATGTATACGTCTAATTAACGGAGGCTCCCTAAAACATTTTCCTCACAATGAGGGGAGACCACTTGGCCCCATTTGACTTTCCTCATAAACTAAAGCATACCGACGGTAAAACTACCAAACCAAGTATCTCGTATGTGGTGTTTAAAAATCTCCGCTCTCATCATCAGAAGAAAAGCTATCAACGGGACTGTCTTGTTGCATCACCGTTCACCATTCGAACAAAACCCGAATCACCGAAAATTTAGCCCCTGTAGACTAAGGTTCTTTTCCCCGTAGATGGTCAGATTCAGAGCGTTAAGCACTTCATTAAAGCGTTCCGAGGCTTAATGTCCGAATTCAATCAGAGAAGAAGAAATTATAACGCCTAAGTTTTAACGAGAAAGAGTGGGTCATTACCGACCGGCCGAATCATAACCGTGACATTTAATTATTTATGGGCCGAGAATTTAACCGGCCAGTGTTCGATATCTCCTTTTTCCACGGAATTATTTTCGCGCCTGATGACTCCGGTCTTTCATGATGACTTTCACATGGTTGCCGAATACTGGCCATCCGAGTCCCGGGACACAAAATGGCTTTTAGAATTAATTGTTCATGTGAAATTTAACTACAATTAAGATGTATTGTTCCTATGTCTTTTCTCAATAAAACCAGTAAAAACTGATGCATATAATATACATGCACAAAATATAATAAGAATATCATCGTGAAAACAAATTTACTTGTGCTGCTGCGGCATACGGCATGCGTTTCCCATTCCAACCAAACAATGTCGCTCAGACACACGCTCCGTGCCTTCCACTAGCCTTTCCTGTGGTTTTAAGATATAGGATTTTAATTAATGATATTGTGGTAAGAGATATATATAAAAATAACACAAAAAATCAGTGGGAAACAATGCTAAAATCAATAAACACAAAATGCAGGATGTTTCGGCTCCTCACCCGAGCCATTATAAAAATACCTATATACCTATAGTCGTGGTGCCGGTACCTATAGTACTGGTAATATCTTTAGTTGAGGTGCTCTAATATCTCTCCTAATGATAATGCGTGTGACTAGTTTCAAGACGTTGCTGCAACTCTCATGATAACTCCCCGGAAATTTTGTTTCGCCGGATTTCGTGTAGACTTTCGATTACTTTAACCGAAGACATTTCTCTCAGAAACCATGCAAAAAATGCATTTAATCCTAAATGTTTTTAATGTTTCCGTGCTCGGCGATGTCACGACGTTTATTGCGTGACGCTGTTAATCATTTGTTACGCATTTTGTCAACGCAACGCGATGAAGACGTGATGTGTCGATGTCCTCGTTAGTGAAAGTGCTCCTCTCCCCCAGTCATGCCCCCTCTTTTCACTCCTCTCTCTTCCTTCCAGCCAGCCCTCTCTTCTCCTCTCTACTTTACGCTTATGCCTTTTTTGCCTGCACACGATGCGATCTCAGAAATCAATGACATCATGTTGCTCAATTAAACTTGATAGAAGTATGCATGACGGCAGGCCCGCCACAAGGGGGGGGATACTGGGTCCTTGGTACCGGGGCCCGGGCCCTGGAGGGGCCCGTGATGCAGGTGACAAACCACTACGAATTCATGTGTAACCCTTGTCTCGTAGGGAAAAGTGAAAAAATTACCCTAAAAATTCCGCAAAAGGTGAATAAAGTTTCAAAAACACGCTAGGACACTATAAAATTTTTCTTACTTTTTTAGAGATTTTCAAGATTTTGAGTATATGTAGAATGATATTTTTAGTAACTGTGTTTCATTTTCTTTCGTTGTCGGATGCTAAGAGGCTCCTTTCTGGGCATCCTCGACTTCAATGGCTTAACTCCCTTGCCGTAGACGTACGAAAAGGGAGTCCAGGGAGGCCCGGCTCCCCATAGAATTGAAAAGTATCATCTGCCCTCTCAAAAAAAAATTTATAGATGTTTTGAATGCAACAATTCGAAAGTTTTTGGTGCTGAAAGTAAACAAAAAGGCGTAATTATTCTGCAGAAATTGATGGAAAATCTCCATCATAAGAGCTTCATAATGCGTCCAAATAGATTTAAAATTTCAAAAATTTCCCAGGGGAGGACCCCCGGACCCCCCCCCCTGCTGGGGGCCCGGGCCAGGAAATTGGTACCAGGACCCGAGATGGGATGTGGCGGGCCTGCATGACGGTACTTCCTACTGAGGATCATTCTCTTGCCATTAAAATTTACTCATTTTTTTTAACAATTTCACGTTCTGCAGATTCCGGTCACGACCTGCAGAGTTCATCAAAATCTTAAGATTAACCGATGCTCAATGATGATTATGTTCGCTTGTTTCGCTCAACACATTTGTTGACGGATGATACTGTTTTTCAATAATTATTCAAGTATTTAAACTTACAGAAGGAAACTTTGAACATCGGCGTTGGAATATTCATTTAGGTAAATTAACACATTATCTGTCGACCTTCTTTTCTTTGATAGACCCCCCCCCCTCTCCGTCATCTCATTTGTTTTTCGACGGAATATGAGTCAAATATATTTTTCACTCAAAGAATGGGAAACTTTATAAATTTTGCTCCTCACGTAACGATGGACTTGGACTAGACTCCATACCCCGCTCCGCCCCCTCTCATAACTCACCGTGACGCAGACACTCCCCTTCTCCCTAATTGTGGCATGTAATGCTTAAACGTTCACAGATTGACTCGATCCATCATTCGCAGTACTTGTGGCGCACTCATTATCTGCTGATAGTTTGGACCACAATTTGGCAAGGAAAAAAGGAGAAAAAATAAATTGAGAAATATTTTTTGAGCAAGAACACAGTTTTTACTCAAAAACCGAAATTCCTTTATTCATTTTTAGTGTCAGATTCTTCTCACAAGAAATACTCCCAAATTGCGCGATTTGAAAAAAGTGGTGCTTCGCATGAACTGTTGATTAATAGTGGCCATAATCAATAAGATTGGTCATTTTACCTACCTTTTTATCAAAGTAATTTTGCCGTTAAGTTAGTAAAATCATTTGGTACAATAACGCACCATTATTGACTAGGACTGCTATGAATTAAAAGCCCACGCTGAACACCTTTAAAATGATAATTTCAAACATGGTTTTTTCCCTCAGCACGGGTAAACATTCATAAGGTAACACGTGCAAGCTGGCAACATGATCTGACTTGGAGTAAGTCACTGATTCATGTTGCGCGAATGCGAGGTCACATCCTGGCTCTTCCCTTGGTCGTCGGCCAGATCACTTAAAATCCCAAAATCGCCGCCGATTCCTGCACTAATGCTCCGAAATCATCAACTCACTCTTCGTCGATTCTTCGACGGGTGGTAGCGGGAGGAGTGGAGGTATTCACGAACTTTCTACGGTTGCGTCACTTTTAATGTCGCTGACGTCGGTCGAGTATTGGTGCCCGAGTGATCGGAGAGAAGTACGCAGCTGCAGCAGTCGGCTTATTGGGAGCGTGGGACTTATTCCGCCAACACCGGGACTGAGGCCAATCGCGAATGTTTGGAAGCATAATATTTAAAGCAGGAGAGCGGGCGCGTGGTACTTAAGTCAAAACGGCTCATTTTTCTTATTTTTATGCAAAACTCAAGTTTTTACACAGTTCAATTTTATGGTACTATCATTTTAGTTTGAATGAGTGCCTTTAAAAAGATGAACGTTGCTCGTATGAAATATACGTGGATTTTAAAGCTTGCCATCTCAATTCAGAAGTGATGCAATGTACAGGAATTGTACGTTCCTAGGGAGTTTTCAAACTGAGATTAGGATTAAGGTGTTCGGTTGTCTTCATGAGCAAGATAATGAAATAGTTTTTACCCATAATGAATGTAAATATTTGCAGTTTTAAAACGCTGGCGTCGTACGATAGTTATGCGTTAACTTTCTTAATTCGATTAAATGAAATCTGTAGAATTGATTAAGTCCACTGAAATAAAAATACGCGTCTCATTTTCAAAAAAGAAGAAAAAAATTCGAAAATTAGGATTGGGATTTGACAGCTGGGAGCACATAATTTTGAGGGCAAATAATTGTTAATAATTTTATGAAAAGAGACCAATTTTTTCGTTTAATTTTTATGCAAAAGTCGATTTTTTGGGCCCTTCATCGTGGATAGGTATACTGCCTTCTTTCTCATTATATGTAATATTCAAGCGTTGTCCTTTCTCGACATTAATTACTCTCTTTTGGTCTGTTGCAGGTTTACATTTCCATGAAAGAACTGCTGCTCCCTCTCCTGATTCTGTTCTCGTCAGTTGCAGCAGCAAATGACCAACAACCGATCGACAACAATCTCCTTCCAGAGGCTATGAGGCAGGTCGATGTTAACAAAACAATCGAAGAAGTCCAAGCCATCCTTGCTAGGAATTCCTCGCTGCCTCGACTAACACGTGGTGAGATTCTAGCCCTTTTGCAAGATGTCACAAAGAACGCCATACCACCGGCTGTACACCAGCGAAAGGAAAAGAACAACAACCTTCTCCTAGTTATGCCGGTCAAGATCAACGGTACAAACCTTGATAATATCTACTCCATCACACCTGTGACTAAACTTGTCCGCCCTGGTCAAGAAACGGAAGCAGCTAGCTTCGAAACCTCGACGAAGCCCTACAACAAGAGAACGCAGAAACCCACAAACAAACCCGCCAGGCGCAGGAGACCATCCACCACGACCGAAAGCAGTAAAGGCTTCTCCCGATTCTCGTTGTCTGACCTCATCCGTACCACCACGCAAGCCTTCACCAAGTCGCAAGCTTACATGCCAGTAACAACAATGAGGCCGAACGTGGGCATGTACCTGAACTACGTCACGAGGCAGCCACAGCCATCTTCGACAGAGGTGAGGGGTCAGAACTTCGAACTGCCAGACAGCATAAAAACCAACCTCCAAGCATTTGATCTTGGTAATAATAAGTTCAGTGCAAAGAATAAGAGTGCAGATAACTTCCAAAACAACTTCCAGCTCATACAAAACATATCATTCGATTCTCCACCACAAGACACGAAGTTTGGTATGGGGGCTGTCTCGACAGCTATCAGGGTCAGTGAGAATGTGCCTGGACTCGACCAAGCCAGACCTGTTTTCACGCATCCCACAATGATATCTCTGACTGATCCAAATGACAAGACCGTCGAGAAGACGGTTTACAACCACAAACCCAGTGAGAGTCCCGAATACAACCACAAGCCCAAACCGTCGGACTTCTCATTGAACCAATTCGCAGAAGAGGATTCTTTCCCAAGCTCCACGAAGACGTCAAAGATTAAGATGAAGGTGACAACCACGCCCCCAACGTCCACCACGACAGAATTTTCGATGTCCGTACCGCCCGATGCACTCACCCCAGAGATGAAGAACATCCTTGTATCCCTAGGATTGTTGAATCCCGAAACCGGGAAAATCATTCAAGAAACTCCGAAACCTACCGATACTCCTGATCTGTCATCAAATCTCTTCAACCTGAAGCCGATGAGTCCCTCGGTAGATCCAGAGTCTTACTCGAAGTTCAAGCCTATCCCTGTGGACGACGCAAACCCGAAATCCAATAATATGGGTCTCAGCAGTGACATGAAGGACTTCCTTTCTCAATTCGGTCTCTTGCCTGAATCCAAGAGTGCGAAGAAGAGCCATGAATTCGACTACTCTCACAGGGGTCAGAAGGCTCTGCAGTTCAACCGAGACTACTTGAACAACGAAACATCTAATGAATTCTTAAGCGATCTAGCAAGTCTTGAGCTGGACTCAGCGAATGATTCGTTCAACGACCCCTCAGACGAGGCGTCCCATAATGTCAGCCTCAGCACAGACATGCTGTCTGATGACATGAAAGACGTTCTCCAGAACCTCGGGCTAATCGAGGAGACGATGGCTCTGAAGGGGAATAAATTGTCGAAACAGCACGTTTTCAATCCCGCTGTCCACACGGCGCTCTTGAAAGACTCGACAGAGGCGAAGAAAATTAAAAAGCTCTGGCACGCCATCACGGATCTTTCGAGAGACAACAAAACGAACGACCTCTCGCAAGACGAGCTGAAAATCAAGATTGATAACATCACGACGACCGTGTTGACTTCGAATCAAACGCACGAAAGCTACATCATGAAGATCCTTCGTCAGAAGAAGAAACCTGGCAACGAGACGGCTGCTATTGAGAGCATCAAGGCAGTGACGAAAAATATACCGACGGAGGAACCTAAAGATCCGGAGAAGGCTTTGGAAGAGCTAGAGAATTCTGGCGTGGAAGACTTCGAAACGGAGGCGATCGTAAAACTGGACGATGGCTCTTCAACGGAGTCCGAGAACCCCAAGGACGACGACGAGATGGAGATGATGAACTCAAGCTCAAACCCTAGCTTCGTCCCCCCGATCGGCTCCTCATCGGGGAACCTGAATCAAGTCATGGACCCACCAGACCCTCTCTCATCTCATGAGCTGCAGATCCTCTATGAGAACCACCAAAAGACTGAGTTCAAGCGACAGCAGCCGTCAAATGATTCCGACACGTCTTCAACGACCGTCACGGAAACGAGCCCCACATCCTCCATAACCGAAACCACCTCTAGTGACATTACCACCACCTCCGGGGCATCTACCACATCTGGCGCATCCTCGACTTTTACCTCGGAGGGGTCGTCGACATCCGGTGACTCAACGTTGGAGACCTCCACAACCCGTGGCGATGACGAGAAGGCCGAGCTGCCGTCCGGCACAGACAGCAGTGCTTCCGCGTCCATAGACCAGCTAGCCGATTCTTTTGGAGGAGCTAGCGTGGCCAGCAATCCACCAACAGACGAGGAACTCCCCGCTGCGACACTGAGGCCGAACGGTCTCTACTTTTACGTCGACTGGAACACGTTTTTAAACGTCGGCGAGGAAGACAAGAAGCCTGTTAACCTGAAATTTGCCCCGAAGGTGGGGAACCCACGGTTGTTCTTACCCATCACTGTACCTTAAAGGAAGTGCCATTCGAAATGAGTTTTGCCAAAGGTGATATACACCATGTTGGTTGCTGCGTTACCTCCAAATTAGGTTTAATTTCCTAGGAGAAATAGCAACTAATATCTGAAATGAAAGTTCTTAAGGTTTTTGCAAAAGTATCAGTACTAGAAAAATCTTTCGAGACTATCGTTTCTGCTATGTCGCTCTCATATTGAGAATACAACATTTTCTACCATTGATTGTTAAAAAAGATATTTTTCTCTTAGAGCTTTTTATTCTGGTACTCACAATTATTTAAATAGGAGTTTAAATGTTTACTGACAAGGCGTTCCGGAAAGTCAATAAATAATTTTATTAACTTGCTATTCCGTCTTGATGGAGGTATCAAACATGATTCATGTTATTTTTTGATCTTATGAGTGCATGCTTATTGTTAAGTGATACCCAAACCATTGTTTCATAGAAAAATGAGTGGCTGCAAAAAACAAAACAAAAATTTTAAACGGATCCATATTGAGTCGCAATAGTTATCGTCAGTATTTTTCCTAAAATGATAAATATTCGATGGATTGGTTTTAGTTGGATTCAGCCGATGTGAGTTGAAGAATTTTTCACAGAATAATTAATTAACTTACGTAAACTCAAAATTATCTTAAAAGCACTGAGAGAAGATGTTTTAATGTTGTATTTGATAATGTTTGATCTATCTAGAAAAGATAGGTTTCCTCGTTCTTTTATTTCATCTAAGAAAAGAGTAGAGATTGAATTGTTTCATTCGGCGTGCCATTCCTCAATGACAAGTTGCTGAGTACGAATGGGGGTACTTTTAAAAGTCGGAACTGTATTAAAATGTATTTGAGGGTTACCTCTCTATATCAATCGACAGGTATTTCTAATGTAATGTTTTTAATATCCCGGAGAACTGTTTTTATCTACCCCTTCCTGTGTCTGTTAGAAATAACAAATTATAAATGCCCGGTGCTGAAAAAAGGCTCGTCTTCAGGTTGAGATGTCCTTCATTTTTTTCTACCCAATGTGTTTACAAACAATCATTTCGCAAGGTAACCATTTTGTACGGAATCAGAATACCAAAAATAAAGTATATTTAGATATACATATGTTTTTTGGCTTGGGAAGCCAAATGCAAAATATGATTATGACTTTCGATTTTATCCCACTGCTTGACATTCAGTGATTCGCCAGGGAGGTTTCCTCTTTCGTCGAGAATATTGGCCAACCAGATTCATGATTTGGAGAGCCCATAAAAACACGACTCAACCTGAACAAATGAGACTGATTTTCCTCGGGCGCCTTATACATAAAACTGTGATATGTGAATGTTAGTCAAGTAGTCTGAGTTAATAAGTTATTATTACGTCCATAGACATTAAATTAAAGGCAAATATTTATTTTCATAGTGAAGTAAGTTAGTTTTTAGAGAAAAAAGTTCAATATTGGTCTTCGTCATTTTAGGGTAATTTTTTTGTTGCTTAGCTTTGTGAAGTGACCGAAATGTTCACTCATTCTTGGAAAAGATATATGTTAATGAGCAAAATCTGACTTCAGGGTGATTCAGCGTCACTTTGAAATACATTTTATAACCATTCGACAAATCTAAAACTTTACATTCTGTTTCAATTTTTTTGGTCAATCAATGATCCGTGAGAAACTAAATATTTCTTAAATTAGGTAAAAGTATTAACGTGTTGCCAAATTGTTAGTTTTTATTTTACCGTTTAGAACGTGCGACTAATTATCACTGTGCTTATTTTTAGTCCCTAATTATCAAAATCACTCGTCATCAACCACTTCAGCAAATCGAAACGAGAAGAGGCATCCTCAATTTCGTTAAATGTTATCTCTTACCCTACCCGAAATCTCCTCACACCGAGAAGTATGTCTTTTCCAATTTGATCTGGCTGAACTACCGTCGAAAAGCAAGAGAAAGAGGCGGGAAGATTGAGAGTCTCGTTACATCATCTTGACTTTTACGTTAGAGACACTTGCTGTGGTTAGCAGGTTAATTCTGACGATTAAGTGATCTAGTCAACAAAAACCGTGACCGATACGCGGTGTTCAATCACTTCTTCCGTCTCATTCTCTGCTTTTCCCATGGCTGTCATCTACTGGTGAATGCCGTGACAGCCCTGTTGCCGAGTAGCAAATGGCCTATTACCTCACTGGAGAAAAAAGTCGCTTGGATCTAGAGTCCAGACTCTTGAAAACATTGACAAGTAAAAATACTCTTGATTCAATCGGACTTTTTGCTTGAATCAAAAGGAAATCCGCCTAAATCAAGAGGCTCAGCTCTTCGATTCAAGGAAAAATCTGATTGAATCAAGAGTTTTTTTCTTGTCAATATTATTAAGAGTCTGGACTTTAGATCCAAGCGACTTTTTTTTCCAGTATAGGGCATCCTTCGTCGCAAAGCGGTTCTCTCAGCATTTGAGCCTGGCTTCTAGTTCCGCCATACTGGAGTCAACGGTAAAGACTTTTTTACCGCAAGTTCCGTTGACTCAGTTGCTCCATCATGTCATGTCAATCCCGGTTTATATTGAGCGAACGAAGATCAAATATTTACTTTGTGCAGTTCCGTTTTGCGATTGGCGAGTTGAGTAATTCTGACTAAGTATTAAAAAACGAAGGGGCAAAAATAAAAAATTGCAAAATTAAGATACAACAACATATATTTAACAATATTTGAGTAGAAAATTCTTGAATCCATAATTTCTTACCTGGAATAACAAAAAAAATTAAAAAGTCTTAAGGGCAAAGATTCAAAATGGTTTTAAATTTTTTAGGGATTCATATTTGGTCTTAATGTCCCGAATCAATACTTGCCCAGAGGTATTCTGAAGTAATTTAGCTGATTATGTCATAATTATTTTATCCACAGAGAAAACAAATAACCATGAATTACGAATGACGAATGCCCAAAAGTACCAAATCTTTACGCTCAACATTTTTATATTTATTATTACCGTTTGCTAATTCCATTGTTGAGTAATATTTGAAGAGTGGTAATTCAATGGTAAGTGTTGTCAGGTGTTGGATTGTGCAGTTGTTGCGCTCATTTCATTGAACTTAATCAGTTGAAAAATGATAATTCTTATGATGAAATTAAGGCCAAAATTGTAAGAAAATTCTCCAACAAAAAGTGTACAACTCAGAGGTGTATAAGTATGTTACTTTATAGTGAGAAACACAATGCACATCCCTAGCAACACCTGATGGCGCTTACAACATTTCAAATTTCCCCTCTTCATTTCTTTTTCAACAAAATGTTATCGTTTTGGACGGATAAGTTAGAGGGAATTCTTATCAAAAATTAGGTAGGTAACTTATTGTACATTTTTATATAGCACAATTTTGTCCAGAGCCGGAGTATTGGTGAAAATGTACGACGCAACAGTGATGAATCTGGAAGAGTGTAAATTATTCCGGGAAGTCAAATGTCATCAATAAAGGTGAAAGCATATTTTTGAAAGAATTAGGTATCAATCATTTGACAAGTTAGACAGAACTCGACAATTTTAGGCATTCAATTAAAGAAAGTAGAATCCCTCGAGCACGCCTTTTCTTTCAAAAGACGATGTAAAATATACAATAATGATTCAGAATGCATAAAATAATTGTACCCACACTGCAATTGACGGTTTGGATTAGAATGAAGTCAAACTGTTTTAAATTTATGAGAAAAATTCAATCAAAATATCCGTTGCCGATCTGATATGATCGATTGATTCATTTTTCTTCAGTAGATGTCTGTTTAGTTTTAAAGGGTCACAAGTAGTTATATGTTACGAGTACTCATCTCCCGAAAATGCCTCCGACTTTTTTTCCGAAAAGACAAGACAGCCTGAATAGTCTGCTCAACTTGCTGGTCGGGAAGTTCAGAGACGAACATTTCCTGAATTTGTCACTGTTAAAAGTCTTCAGTGCTGTCATTACTCCATCCATAGAATGTTATGTGTTTACAGTTTGTGAAAGAATAAATCGATGTTGGAATATAAAACGTTAACCTCGTCTTTTCATTTATACCTCGACTGTTGTCATTTCATACTTTTATCTACCTACTTCTCATTTTATGTTTGATGCTACCGACCATATCATTCTAAATTAAATGAAGTAAAATAAAACCAATTTCTTTTCACAGAAAAGCCGAGAAAACGACTTTAAAAGAATTCATGAAAATTTAAACCAGTAATGAGTGTGGTAGAATCGGACTTGAATCAGTGAGAACGAAAACACACCAACTCGAAAAAATGAAAATAATCAAGACACATACAAAACTGCGCAGTAAATGAAGAAGTTGGTCTGGGAAAAATATTTTAAGTGCAGAAAGACTAGTTACTTAAGGACACTTTAAAAATCCAATAAGTTATGACAGATGCGCTAACTTCAATGACCTGTATACAAATTGACTGTCTTCAATGAGAATTGAGCATTTTCAAATTACCGAGTTGATGTGTTTTCGTTCTCACTGATTCACTTTTGTCTGACGTTTTCAACACATAACTTTATGACATAATTCATTGAAAACTTACCGATTGGAATAACGGTGACTGCGCCACTATACGAAAGGAGAAGAAATATTATGAATATTATAAAACTCCAATTATGTCGAAAAAGGCTGGACACCATTAATATATAAAAATGGAGATGAGAACTATAAATACAAATTGACGGTGAAACTACCCGACCACGTATTTCGGTTTGCGACGTTGTAGAATTTCTGTCGTGCTTACTTTTTCAGGGGGAAAAATACTCTCAACGTCAATTCTTGAAATTTCCTTGTTTTCCTAGAGTCCTTTTATACTGAGAGTCAAGACAACACCCCCTCATGGAGTCACAAACGGGAATAAAGATTACAGAAATTGAACGTTTTTCGTAATCTTTGATCGGCCCATTCTCAAATTCCTTTCTCCGTTCCTTCTCTCATTCCGTTTGTTCCTTGCCGAACCCGTAATTCCCTGGCCCATTCCAGATTATAATCTTTGCAATCGGTGAAAATGTAATCTTTATTCCCGTTTGTGACACCGAGGAGGCCTAAAAATACGGGAACCAATCAGAAATGGATTCACGTTGTCTTGACTCTCAGTATAAAGGGACTCTATGTTTTCCCGCTGTATGCGAAGGAAACTCCTAGAAAATTTCAAGCAATGGTGTTGATTTGTTCTCCTTAACAGAGTAAAATGGGAACGGAGATTAGATACGTGGTCTGGGAATTTCACCGTCGAAATACAATAATCACAGCAAGACTTCAGTACATGATCCTCGGGCAGCCTACTCTTCTCGCATTTTTATCATTGGCTAACATGTTGTCTCCAAGTTCTAAACATTGTTCTCATCAAAAGTCGTGAGTGAATCCTATGATAAAGGCAACGAAAATGTCTGAGAATCTAAAATCACCTTTCGCTTGCTTTATCGCCCACTGATTCCTACCGGTTGTTATGAAACTTACGGCACAATGACCATTTCGGCTATTTTAGCTATCAAGAAGTTCAGTACCGTGTTCAGCTTTAGTTATCGCTTACTTCTCGTCTTCGTTTTTAAGGCACCCTGATGGTGGCAAAAATGGTCCTTTTATTCTAAGTTTTGTGACAACCAGTAAAAATCATTGAACGAAAAAGAAAGCGGAAGGTAAATTATTATTCCTCTATAACAAATGATGAAATACAATTGGGAAAATTAAAGGATATCAGGATTTTAATGACAAAACACAGCAAATGAATATGTAATACAAAATATCCGGCATCGTACTTGATTTAGTTAATTCCATTTATTTTACACTTATAATAACACGATTGAGGTATTTCTTCACTGGCAATTAACAATACAAGAGTTCCGTGGGTCAAAATTCCAAAAAAATTTCAATTATAACCTCCGGTTATTCTCACACCTGCGAAAAACAAATTTTTGTCACTTTGAAGCCACCCTGCATGCACTGAACAGCTAAGTCCTCACACATGTAACACCTCCATTTGGCCTGGAACGGCGCAGAGCAGAGAGCAATGATGACTAAGGACTTGAGATGAAAAGGAGGAGCCCTCGGCGCAGCGGTCGGCATGTAACACATTTTAGCGCCTACATAACTGCATGAATACTTCACGCATTGCGTCAAACACAGTGCGGTCATCAGCCGTCGGCGTGAAACGCATAGCGCCTACAAGACTGCATGAATACTTCACGCATTGCGTCGCACACAACAGTGTGATCAGCAGCGGTCGACGTGAAACGCATAGCGCCTACAAGACTGTGGGAATACATCATGCATTGCGCCAAACACACAGGGCGGTCAGCTCAACACGGCGCTGCGGCGGCGGAAGTTAAGATCATTAAACCACATTTAGGATTGTTCTTTTATAATTTTTTCGTTTATTTCATATAAATAGAAGGCCTTGTCCACACACTACACAGAGATAGGTTAACAGAACTTACTTTCGCCCGAAGTTTCGTGAATTTTTGGTAGTAGTGTTGACACGGCTTTCGCAAAGAAATTGTCCAACACGAGTAAACACGTCTTATGCACCCCTCCCCTGTTCGTTTTTATTGATGTTTCAAAACGAATGAGAAGGGGGCGGCAAAATACAGGCGGCCCATGGGCGGCAAGTAGGTAAATCCGGCCCCGTAGGTATGTGAAAGGAAACTCTACATGTAATGCTCAAATACTCAATTTTTTGGGATTTCAATGGCTGGTGATTACATTTAAATAATGAATTTATCGGAAAATAGACACTGTTGTGATAAAAAACAGTAATACTTTACTTCATCGGCACAATAGGCAACGCTGGGATTAAGTTACTTAAGGAGTAGGAGAAACAGACAAAGCCTTAGTTAGTTCCGCACACGACGGATACTAAACGAATTCTTTAATAAACGCCTGGATACAACTATTTGGACTCCATGGATGTCCGCGTTGCATACGCACGGGATTGAAGGCGTTTTGACTTCAGACACTAACCGCATCAAAGGAGCGCTGAATGAGGGAATCATACAAAAAAATTAGAAGCATTAAAAGCTCATATCGATGTTGATACGGAACGTAGAGTTTTTAGAAGTGGTTTCATTCATTTTCTCGCGCAAAAGTTTCTGATATTAGCACCCCATAAGCTGTACATATATTGTAAGGAAATTACTGTCTTCGCAGTTTAAGTCGGATTCATGTTTGACCTAGAGAGACTCGTTTTATTAATTGTTCAGTGAGCTTTATTGCGAGGATCTAAAATTTGAAATTAGAGGATTCCTTCAATTTTGCAGTTTTACTCTATCACAACTATTGTTTGTGGACATTTTTGAGTGTTGCTTGAATCATAAAGTTCGCAAAACTCTCTTTCTAATGGTGCCAAGGTTTATTTTCCAATAATGGGTCACAACAAGGTTAATTCTTTGGACTCGATCAAGCGAAGAGAAACCAAAAATTGACACAGAAAACACCTTAAAATAAAATAAGTCAGGAGTGCGAAGCTTAAAGTTTAAATATCCTCACACAATGTCCTGTTAAAAACTTAGCGTAAAAATACAAATCATCAATAGTGACAGTATAATTGATTACTCGTTTTCTTTGTTATTTTCGGATCCTGCGTGAAAGAGAAGACCCAAACTTCTACGTTATTTTGTTTTGCAGCAGTTCTCATACTCGAATCATAAACAATTCACATTCAACTCGATGTTTGTGCAGCTTTCAGGCACTCGTAGTTCTGTCAATCCGTCTTTATTAATAGGTTGCAACGACGTCGCGACATTCCGTTATTCGTCATATGCTCACGATTCTTCCCTCACAGTCATAAATTTATCACCTCGCATAACGTGCACATGTTTCGCAAGCATACACGATGCAATTTTGCAGTAGTTGCCCGAAACCACCACGGCGAACCTGTCCAACCCTCTGATTCACGTGAAGGTACAAATATCATTCGCCGTTCAATAGGTAAGTTATTAGCATTTCGTGGTAAGACCATAAGATGATGTTTTATATTAAGTTTTTCCAAGGTACCTTTACGTGTTGAACATTTTAGCTGCGTTTAATTTACCATTCAACATGTATTTCTACATGTGTAATTATATTATAATCGATGGCTGGACTAGGAGAGCTCGTAGGTACCTTGGATTACGACGCTATAGGTACTTATAAACGGACTTCATAGCATACTACGAGGGTCATCCAAAAAGTAAGTTTTTCTACCTTGTATCTTCCGAACGAAAAAAGATAAATTAAATCGGTAAAAAGACATATATTAGGTATACTTCAAGCTTTAAATAAGCCCAAGTTATTGAAAATCGGTCGAGGGGTTCGCGAGAAAAGTTAATTTTACTGAGACAACCTCCTGTCACCGCGTGCCCACCTCCCGGGTCAGAATGCGCGGAGAGTCGATTACTTAGACCCGGAAAAACTTCCACGATGAAAAGCGATTGTCAACCGACTCAGAGGTACAGATCGCTGTCAATGACTGGTTTTGGAGCCAAGACGAGACTTTCTACGCGGAAGGCACCAAAAAGCTGCACTGAAAAAAAAGTATGGTGACATTTACTATGAGTCTACTTGATTTTTTACACAGTGATACTATTTAGTGGAAATAACCAGAATTATAGTAGTATTCGCCAGAACTCTGGTGATTCTTACCATAGTATGGTAAATGCCACCATAGAGTCTGGTGTTTATTACCATATTCGTATCACTGTGTCAGAGATGGTAAAATCTATACCGGCATATTTTTTTCAGTGTGCTGTAATGATACCAAAAATGTCAAGAAAGATGTGGAGCCTAAGTTAAAAAGAAAGGTAAGACCTAATCAATGAAAACTTTTAAATTCCTTTTCGATGTGATGTTTAGAGGCGAATACCCGAGTCTGAAATAATCGACTCTCCGCGCATCCTGACCCGGGAGGTGGACACGCGGTGACAGGAGGTTGTCTCAGTAAAATTGACTTTTCTCGCGAACCCCGCGACCGATTTTCAATAACTTGGACTTATTTAAAGCTTAGAGTATGCATACTATGTGACTTTCTACCAATTTAATTCATCTCTTTTCGTTTGGAAGATACAAGGTAGGGACCCTTACTTTTTGGATGACTCTCGTATATTTTCCAGTCTGACGGAAAGTCATCGACGGAATTTCTCGAAAACTCCCTTGAGATTTCTTCTTTATTGGAGAATATTCTACATAAAAATTCGAAGCAAAAATTTTGCTTTAAAACAATGCCTCTCACCTCCAAAGTGAACCATAAGTCTGAAAGAAACTCACCAAGTCTCCCTAAGTTTTGAACGAACGAAAAATGCTGTTTGAATTGAAGTTTTGCTCCTCCGCAAGACTCAATGTTTGAGACATTTAACGACTGTTTTCACTCGGACAAAATTTTGTCTCGCTTTTGAATTTTTGAGAGGAAAAAAGAATGACCAAAGTTGAATTTTTAACTACACAAAAAACTCATCTTTCTTTTTAAAAATTCGACTTGGTGCGCTTTTCTACTCTGCCGTGCTTAGGAAGAACGCCGTATGAACATTCGAAAGTTGCCGAATTTCCTTCGATAAAATGTTCATTCTTTAGGAAAGTTATGAATGATTTTTTCAAGATTATATAATTTTAATAAGACTATATTATTTTTTAAGATAATATTTTTAAATTTTTAGAATCTTTAGATAAATTTGCGAACTAAATTATCTGAAAAATCGGGAGGAAAATATTCATTAATTGATCAGGAAATTCACGTTTTATCCAAGGAAATTTGACAACGCCTGATGGTTTATACGGCGTTCTTCCTTAGCACGGCAGTACTGAACTCTGTCCAAATAGAAGCGTTAATTTCTCTTTTGATGACCGGCTTCTATGCGAAATATTTTGCAACAACAATTCCTTTTGTGTAGATCGAGAAGTTTGCGGTCCAAGCTTGAGTCTAGAATGTTTGGTTCCGCTCAAGCCTTCATCCGCCTCGCCATTGTTGGTTTCTTGGTGGCATGTTTCCCGAAGCTGGCGCTGGGAGTCGTACATTTCGAAGGGATGCTATACACGAAGGTCAATTACACAGGTTCAGAGGGACCCTTCATCTGCTCTGAAGAAGTCAACAAATGTCAAAACTGCGCAGGACTGTATAAGGGTTGGCGGAATAAAGCCATGTCCATCAAGACGAACAATACCTGCATCATGGCGTTCAGTCTACCAGACTGCGACAATCAATCTCAGATTTACATGATCACGAAAAGTATCCCGGATCTTGGAAAAGTTAAATGGGCCAAGAGGATTCAATCATTAGGTATTTGTCTTTGAAACGCTGGGAATTATTTATGCTGGAAATCTGAAATGTTGAATGAGATTTTATTAAAGGAAATCACAGTTTGTACAACGGAATGTTCGTTATTTCCCCGATGAAAAATGGGTCCATAAATACATGATTATGTTACGTTCTGAAAGAGGTCAGTGATCAGGTGACCGGTGCGTTACGCGAGGTAGGACAATACCTCCTCGTGAGAGGTTTCCGAGCGATCAGTCGCCTTCAATTACGCACGTATGCAAAATTGATAACGAAAGATCACCCCTCTCATATCACACAGGTTGATGGCTACGTTGTTAGAGAAAAGATCGAGGCACTAAAGGCAGTTTCCCTAATTTGAATCAGTGAGAATGAAAACACACCAACTCGGAAAAATGAAAATGTTCAAGGGACATAAAAAAAGTGCACAGTGGGTGAAGAAGATAGTGTGGAAAAAAGCTTTCGGGTGGACAAAAACTTATCGACACTTAAAGAACCCGCGTTGAAATATATCGTCGTTGTAAGTCCGTAACCACTATCTCGATGACGTATCTAAATCGCCATACGTAACTTGTGTTTTTGATGATGTTATATAAGCGTTTGGAGTGAATCGTGTTCAAGATTGGCTACAGCACTGGCAAACTGTTGCAGAGGTCTTCTTCAATTTCTTTTCTTTTCTTTTTGCTCTCGAATTTTCTTCTTCGAGGCAAATTTTTTGTTTAATTTTTGCGCCAGATGATGTAGAATTAATCCATCTAAGCTGTGGTGTGGTTCGTTCAGGGCCGGATTAAGGGGGTGGCCACATGTGCCGCGTTCCATGGCGGCAAAATTAGGGGGCGGCAAATTTTGCAATTTTTTTAAATGCAGGTACAAATAAATCGGATTCAGAAACAAATTACAAACAAGGAAAGGTGACAAAATCTCTCATTTTCTGATAGTTCATTGATTTCTAATTTTGTCGTATTTCGGTGATACAAAAGACTGCGCACCTTTAATTAGTAGAGTTAAGAGAGAAACCAAACACGTAATTTGGCCTGGAGCGGCGCGGCGCAAAGAGAAATGATGACGAGGACTTGAGATGAAAAAGAGAAGCCCTCGACGCGGCGATCGGCATGTAACACATATTATCGCCTACGAGACTGCATGAATACTTCACGCATTGCGTCAAACACAGTACGGTCAACAGCGGTCGGCGCGGCGTGAAACGCACAGTGCCTACAAGACTACATGAATACTTCACGCATTGCGCCAAACACAGTTTGGTCAGCGCGGCACGGCGGCGGAAGTTAAAATTATTAAACCACATTTATGTTTGTTCTTTCTTAATTTTTTAGTTCATTTCTTGCAAATGAAAGGCCTTGCCCCCACAGAGATAGGTCTACGGAACTGAACTTTCGCGCGAAGTTCCGTGAACTTTTGCTAGTAGTGTTGATAGGGCTTACGCAAAAAACGTGTCCAACACGATTGAACGCGTCTAATGCACCCTTCTCCCTCCGGCACGTTCACTTGATGGTTTTTATTGATGTTTCAAAATGAATGAGAAAAGGGCGGCAAAATACAGGCGGCCCATGGGCGGCAAGTAGGTAAATCCGGCCATGAGTTCGTTCATTACTTTTTTCTTCATCTTAAGGCACATTTTGCCATGCTGCGATGGTCGCATGCTGTACAAATCTCTAATAATGGACTACCAAGAGTTCGTTGACTGGTAGGTAGCTCATTTAACCCTTTGTTGCATGAGCTAATCGTTGATTTTGGTGAGAAAATCTACATTGTAGAGTATTTTTTCGACAATAGAGTAAGTTGAAATCGATTTTTGTAGTAATTTTTTAAGTTAGGAGATCAGACTTATAATGCTCCCCCAAAAAGCATTTCTTGCTTTGACTCAATTTAATACTCCAGCATAGAAATAAAGCTGAAAACCATTTTTTGCTTTCATGCAACGCTATGCAATAAAGGGTTAAGAGGGAATTGAAACGAAAACATGACTAAAGAAGTCGATTTTCATGAAAACGCAGGAGATTCTTCTCCAATGATACGGCCCCTGTTTGGGAAGTTATTCAAATTCAGCGAAACATTTTTGGAACAAAAAAGCAGTTTAATTGAATAAAGTAACAAGGACTTACAAACATTACAAAAAATACAAAATACTACTGACTAATTTACACGCAATTTCGATCCTCAGATCCTGTATGAGTCAGATATATAATTAAAGCTGGGAGAAAAAATTAATTACTGATACCTATAGATAACTAGTTTTAAATCACTCTCTGGGTTTTTTCACTCGAATTTTTTCTCATGAATAACTACATTATGAGTTGCCAAACTTTCAGTTTTGTATTGGTTTTCACTCTGCACAGCCCACAGCAAGTGATGAGATTTCTGAATGCTGAGATTAATCTACCATCTCCTTCCAAAACTTAAAAAAGAAGAAAACAAAAAAAAACAAAAAAAACTGAAGACTTAAAATAGAGCATTGATTGATTTGATTCGGACTGCTTCTGAATCAGGAAGAAGCAAAGAGCTAACAACAGAGGGAAGCAGCGGAACAAGAAATCTTCAACTATAGAGGAAAAGTCGTTATTTTACTGAGCAGCTTTTAATCCTATTTAACTCTGTAAACAAAATCACCTACATTTCTGGGCCTTCCTCCAAGGGGATGCTTAATTTGTATTGTTGATGCCTCATGATTAGACCATTTTCATGAGGTCAAAAAGTCTCGAAAAAATTTTCATGTGATTTTCATTTAAAATGCATATCATGGTACAGTCATTAACCTAATCAAGCGATAGAACAACGCGAAATGTTTCACGGGGGAGGCAACAAGGAAGTCTAGGGCGAAGCATTTTTTAGAAGGAGGTCCAAAGGTAATGGTTGCTCCAAACTCACAATCAACCGCTTTCTTTATAGGAACATTTTGAATTATGGAGGAGGAGCATGAGGAGAGCAAGATCGCCTCTTCTCTTCTTTGACTGTTGTTATTTTAGTTGTGGTGTATTTTATCACTAAAATAAGAAAAATTTGGGACATTAGACGCATTCAGAATTGGTGAAACACCAGTGATGAGGAAAGTTAACACTCCATCTAAATGGTGTAGTTCCTTGACTTATTAATTACGTTATGAACTTAATAAATGAAAAAGGGGATAAATAAATAAAAATGAATGAAAAAATGAATTTAAAAAAAAAAGAAAAAAATCTCCCAGCTGTATAACTAGACATGTGTTAACATTGATTGTTCGACATTTCTTTTCAAAAAATAAAATGCCAATTTGCACTTCTTGATGTAACTGAAAAACGAACAAAAAATTATAATAATGAATGAAAATGCAAAAGGGAAGAAAAACATTTTTACAAATTACTGGCAAATACTGATTGATGATACAGAACAAAAATTACAATTTCTACACTTGATCATAAAATTAAAGTTAAGGAGGTATATTCAAACAGTTTGACATTTCTATATCACATACAGACTACACTAGAAGTGACACGAGTATAAGGAAACTGTACATGAAAACATGGCAACCTTTTCAAGTCTTAATAATAATTTAGGTACCTAATAAAAATCACTTTTTACAATTCATTCATTTTTCGGTTGATCCCACAAGAAACCTAATTTTGGACCAAATTGCATATTTACATTGTCTTTTATGTGTGAAATGTTCAAATAAAAATTGTAAAAAAAAGAACAATAATTCTGAACTTGCCTATTTGAGTATCGTCATTGTTTCTGAAGGCTTGCAAAACAAAATAAAATGACATTAAAATGAGTGGTAAAGTATTTGAGTGGTACATATTCAAACTATCTCGCAATTGCTGATACATATTCTTCAAGTTTGTTCTTTTGATGTACTTGAAAAATGCATCATCTCCAGAAAAAATTACTTTCCTACCAGCAGTCACAAGTCAATCAGGTATCATAAATGACCCATAAATATTAAAGGTCCAAACTTGTCACAAAAATTATAAAAATGCATGGATTATGAAACTGATTTGTTGATGCAATCTCTCACTCTTTTTGCTGAGTACATTACTTGGGTAAATTTTAAAGACGATTTTACAGAGCTTCTAAATTGCATCAGTTGGATAGGTTTTCATTATTCTGTGTAATGTGTTCATATTAATAAGGATAATTTTGAGAATTCTGCAAAATTTTGTTGCAGACTATTTTTATTTCATAACTTTTTTCAACGAAAAATTGACATTTATACTACACAAGAAATTCCAGAAAGGATATCTTAATTTGGAAATATTATCAGTTTTGAGTCCAATGTAGCTCTTACTGATAGCAGTTTCTAAACTTAACTGAACTTCAATTTTTCTCAAAGGTTAGTTTAAAAGATGGTATCTTCTTTTCTTAGAACTTGGAGAAATGCACTGAAAGTTACTGTCAATGTAAGTATTTTTAACATGTTAATCACTGACTCAGATTGGTGAAATAGTTAGTTCATCATTTAAAATGCAAATAATGCAGCTCAGTCCTGATTAATGACTGTTAAAAAGTACTTTTGGATGACTATTGAAAAAATCGTCAAAAATTAATTTTCAGGAAACCCTTTTCTGATATTTTTTTGAGAAAATATTATGGCTGATAAATTTACATTGAAAAATCTTTCAGAGAAAACTGCTATTTTTAAGCGTTTTTTAACATTTTTCAAACATATTTAAAGGGTTAAAAAGAACAGTGAGTAGATCTTGTAGAAGTTATTAAGATTTTAACACTTGAATTTTACCCCTCGTAAATTTATCTTTAAAAAAAATGACCCAAAACAGGTTTCCTAAAAATACATTATAACAGTTTTAGAAGACTTTTTTCAAAATTACAAGGTTCTTTTCAAAAGTTTACCTTTGACTGTCTTTACTACTGGGGAACTCAGACTTTCACTCATTTCAATACAAATAGACCAAGATTGATTAAATAACTTAGATTATCTTAACTTCAAAAAATGGTGGACAAAACTTTACTCATTGCCACTCAATGGATGTTTCACTGGCCTCTGCGTGGGTGACTTAAGATCCGCTCTCTGCTGTCATCTCTATTTAAGGCTGGAGGCGAGTGTCGTGATTTTCTGCTACGCTTGATTTTAGCAAGACTATCCTCACAGAAAACATCGCCTGTCCTCAAAGCAGAAATCAGGTCATCAAATTCACCCTTTTCACCTTTCACAACTCCATCTTTAAGCACATTACCATTGCTAAGAACTGTGTTTTGACTGTCTTTGCTCTTGCGGTCGATTGTTCGTTTCTTCAGCTGAAAAAAAAAGAGGCAAGCGGATGAGGGGCAGAAAAAGTAACAAAGGATAATCATACGCAGGTAAGGGACTAACTCATTGAAGAGCCTGTCTACATAGATTTTGAGTAGGAGACTTACCTAAATTACCATCCGAATGTTAATGGTGGCTCAGTTTGAGATTATTTGATCAGAAAGGAAAAATATACAAAAGCAAAGTAATTGGCAATATACATGAATGGGAGAATGAATATTAAATTTAATGGTATCAAAAATTTTCATGTTGGACTATTCTCTTTTCAACTACCCAAAAATGTTTCTCAGTCTGTTCGCTTAAAAAATGAAATCGTGCTCCTTTGACTTTCATCTAATAAATTATTATGAGCTGATACTTTTAGCGTACAGTTATTGAGACGTCTTGAGCAAAAACTAGATGACTACTTCCTTAATTGAAAGAAAAAAATCAGAAATCTAGAACATGTATATAACATCATTTTAAAAACTTACATCAACCTCCTGTTTCATTCTTTTCTCCTCCTCTTCTCTCCGCCGCTTCATGTTCTCATTATCATGACGAGCCTCATTCAGTGAAGATAAGAAATGGTCAAAAATACCGAAGAAGTCATCAGGCTGTATTGTAGAATTGTCCTCTCCGAAAAGTCTGACGGCTCTGTCAAACTGAAATATAGAAATAATATTGAAATTTTACTTTTTACAAGAAAAATTGAAACGGTACATAAAAATACAAATAAAATACTTGTCTTGTTAATCTTATAAATTAAAATTAATAATCTTATTGAAAAACATAAAAATTTCCAGTGATAGCTGCATCAAAAAAATATCGAAATGTAGTGTACAAAGTAAGATGAACACTTTTTGCTCACTTTGTGTAAAAATTTGCGCATGTAAGTAGGTAACTTCATGAGTGTTTAGATTTTTTAGAAAACTTAGATTTTAATGGCCATACATGCTCACAGTTAGATCTTGTGATCTTGCTTTTTTGCATGATTTTTTTGTGTTTCATCCACAATGATATAAACAATTTTGAATCTCAAAGGAAGTTAATAAGAATTTTGTTTATTTTTTCCAGTCCAATTTGTATGATGTTTACCAATATAAAAATTAGACGAAAGATTTTCTACTCCACAAAATTCCGAAAAGGTTGGGGAAATGTTTAAGCAAGCATACCTATATTTTTTAGAGTCATTGTTAGCTACTAGGGATGCTAGGCTCTAGAAGTCTAATCCAATTTTTATTCATTACCATTTAATTGGTACGATCTTACAAGGAGGAGAACTAGATCAAATCAAGGAAGAAATCCAAAGATGCAATGCTGGCAATGCATATGTGAATACCTACTTTCCAATTTATGCATCCATGTTCAAAGTTAATTTTTTCAATTCAATTCTGCAGTTACTTGCTACCAATACTTTCTTTTCTGATCGATACCTGGTCAAAAGACATGAATAGAATATGATTTAAGAATACACATTTTTTGTTAATATTAATGAAGTAAGCTCACCCTGGTTTTCATGTCATGGAACAAGTCGTCTAATTCTGACAAGCGACATGTAGCTGTGGCATGGAATTCCTTCATGACAGGTAAAAATCGATCACCGTTTATGAGTGGCTGAACTCGCTGGAACTCAATTTCTCTTGCAACTTCTGCCAAATTTGTTCGTAGTTGGTTCATGTCCTTCTCCAATTCGCTTAAGCTGAAATAGTATAAAAAATTGAATGCTAAGATGGAAAGTTATGCTTTAGGGTTTGTAATTTATTAGACATAAATTCCTGTCAAATCTGTAGGGTGTATACCACATTTTTCGAAGCTGGGGACTTTTTTTCTTAAATCACAGCAAATGGCAATAATAGGTGCTTACTTCGCTTAATTTTTTTCTCTTAAATTTAGGGACATATCTCATGTTGAGTATTTTTTACGTATCTGGCGTAAGATTTGTGTTAGAGCTGAACGATCCCAAGTGGGTAGTTGGTGACTGGAAAAACATTTTTTAGGTCTACAGAAATGCCTGTTTTAAAATACATAGATATAGGTGGGACAGGTGCATCCAAGACCCAGCAGCTCTCAGGTATCAGCCTATCATGCATGAAGGAAGTAGACCAATAGGAAAAATGCGGCCAAAGACAATCCAACATTTTTGCTTAAATAGCCTGGCTTAACTGAAAATTTTAGCCAACCTGGCCCCACTTCTTCTATAGCAGTCCAGGTGTAACTATCTGCCCTCTCCACATAGTCAGTGCCACTATGTATTTCGTACTGATCATCAAAATAAAAAGAGGATACTTACTTGACTTTTGAAGCCTCTCTAACATGAGGGATATCTTCTTCTAGCCGTAGAATATCTTTGAACTGAAAACATGAAAAAAAAAAAACTGGCATCAAAGAAGGGAAAAGTTGTGAAAAAAATTAGGATTTTTTAACAAGTAAAGACTTTGGTGAATGAAAGGGATAATTGAGGTTTTTTACTCGTGGAACCCAGTAGATTTTGGTTTTTGGCTAAAGGGAAATTTGTATCAATGAGAACATTAAATGCTGACTTTGCACTTAAGTAGGTACCTTGAGGTACCTAAGTTGAATTTGAAAATTAACAATGAGTCCAACTTAATCTCCATGAAATTTTGATATAAGGATGAGTGTTGTGTTGCAACACTTAATTTTTCATCCTGTCCAATGGTCTATCATTTTACCAATCTGATGATTTTTTATTCATTTATTTTTTTTTAAAAAAAGTTTTTAATAGTTACGCATGTTTCTAAAAAAACCATTAGAAAGTCAGAGATGATCGCAAAACAATAAGTTTTACATTCCTCCTCCAAATCAGTGGCTAGAGAATTGTTAACGATAGGTAATTATGTGACAAACTCACTCCTGCTGAAATTTTAAGAATGCCAATGCGAGATATCAACTTGTTACTTTTCCTATGTAGATAGGTATTCTCATCTACCTACTTAGCTCAGGTGAAATGGAGATCATCATTTAAAAATATTAGAATAGAAAAATTACATCTTTTTTTTTCTCTATACTACATTGAAAAAATATATACATCACTGAAAAAAGTACCTTTTTATCCGAAATTTCAACAAGATAATGAAGAAGTGTGGTGCCTTTGGCTGCTGATGATTTGGTATCTGCTAACCGATTCAAAGAGGTAAGCCTAAATCCAACTGCATTGCCTCTAGCACCCCTGTTCATGTAGTTTCCTAGGGCAAGAACAACCTCTAACAATCGTCGCAAACGTCGCGATCTTGCAACTTCCCTTGAAGCCTCCATGACTGCCCGGACACGTGGTTCAACCTCGCCTATCCAAACACTAAACCTCTTTTTGTAGTGTAAGCTTCTCAGTCTTTGCTCATAATGAGGTATTCTGAAAAGTAATAAGAAAGACAAAATTTTAGATGAGTCTACCAAAAAAGATTACTTTGTGCAAAAGAATATTGCTGCTGAGATAAAGTCAAGAGGGGAATAGATATTTAACAGTCAAATATATAGAGTCAAAAAATTTTCCAACGTGCAGCGAACTTTACAGAAAAAAACTGACATTTTTATTACAAAAGCAAATAGTCGTTCAAATAATCAGATTCTGAGATTGCTAGTGTTACAAAGAATAAATTCATTTCGTGCTAGAATGAGGTGTAAAGTTGCATCTTGATCTGGTAATTTTTCATGTTTGTTTGTAACTATTAGTACCTATGTGTATTGTGTACTTAGGTTTGAGGATACTTACTTTGAGATCTCAAAAAGAAACCGATCAGCCCTTGCTAAATTCTCAATTTCTTCACTGTGTTCCTCCAATAATGCAGCCTCTTCAGCACTGGGAGTGAATTTGAGCAGCTGCTCAACCATGTCCAATGGCAACTGATCACGGCTGTCCATACTCAGGATCACTTTCGAAATATCCTCATCCGACATTTTCAACTTTGACAACAGAATTGTGCAATTTTGCGCTCTTCGGCCATCAATCACCTGTAAAAGCAGATTAAAATAAATTCATTTGAATTTAGACAACTTTTCTACATTTTTAAATGAATCCATTGTAATTTTGGATGCTGAAAATTTTAGAGAATATGGCATCCATGCACAAATTATCACAAACAAAAAAAAATAATTTTTTTTGTTTGTCATAATCTTTAGATTTACAGGAAGCAAAGTTCTACAGGGCTCATGAATGAGAACTACAATGTGTGTTGGTGCCAGGTCAGAACCATTTTGCGGGGCAAACAAAGCCACGAGGTTCCAAAAATTATAATTAGAGTCAAAAATAAATTTTTAAACTCCAATGAGTGCCAGTACAAAACTGTNGGGGGGGGGGGGGTTGTTCAGCTCAGACAGTCTGCATTGAAATATTAAGTTAAAATCACGTATACATTTCTTGTACACCTTGTTACATACAGTTCGGGCCACTTCTCGTTTTTTCTCACTTAATGGCAAATATCATATGATATGTTTTTACATAACATGCAATAATGAAATTTTGTTTCTTGATGCCATCTTTAAATACCTTAGTAAATGCAATGCTTGGTTGTACGACAGTAAAAAGGATACTAACCGATAATATTTTTGTCTTTGACTTGCCCAACTGCCGCAAATCTTCCACAGAACCATCATTTGCAACTCCATTCTTTTGGTATGCACAGAACAGTCTGTCAATATTCTCTAGCTCCATTGCACTGTACAGTTTTGTGTCGTCCAGCTCAGTCCAGATGGTGCCATTAACCTTGGCATCTGGTAGTTTTGACCAGTTGAAAGACTTTAGTGGGTTTGATGGTTGAGGAACATTTTTGGTGACAGTTCGTACAGGCATGGCTGGTGGAGGAGGCATTGGTGCACAAGGAGGAGGGGGAGGAGGACAGGGAGCAGGGGGAGGAGGAGGTGGAATAGTCGCTGGCGTTGATGGTGAGTCTGCTTTTCCATTCAGTTCTTTCTTCTCATTTTCATCAGCTTTATTTCTGTTTAAGCCAACAACCTGTAGGAGAAAAATTTACAAATTATTATTCAAGCTTCAATGGCATTATGTTTTTCACCTCCCTGGAAAGTTAAGACTTTTTTTAAAAAAATAAAAAAATAAATAATAATACCTAGTATGAGAAAAGTTTTATTACCTAAATATGAAATTTTGACCATGGTACCCGTTCAAATGGCTTAAACTAGGTAATTTTGTTAAACACTTAAGTTACCCAATAATTAAAACCGTTCATAATTTTAAGCTGATTTGCAGTACCATTAGTTAGACATGCGTAATATGAAAGCGACGGATATAAAATCTGATCAGGAATTGAATTTCACATGGTTTTTTTCTCTAATTTCACTCACAAGGGGAGCTTTCCAAGTGTAACCGGAATTTCGAGTTGAAATTTCGCATGAAGATACTAGAGATGATTTTAGGGATGCCGTATTTTTTCGTTTTTTCGAATGGGGTCGGGAAAGCCCTCAAAAAAAGGGCTAAAGATGCGGGAAAAACGCGTGCGCTAGCGGCACGAGGTAAACGTAGGTGATAGAGGCTCTCCAACCTTATCAGTTCCGCATATCCAAACGGTAGCGTGCTCGCCTCGCAGGCGGGAGGTCGTAGGTTCGAACCCTGACTACAGCCTGTAATTTTATTTTACTTAATGCTTGTTTATTTTTCACTTACTTTATTTTGCACCATTCTCTCCGCAAACCGACTTACGAGGTAGAACACGTAGTGAATGAAGATTTTTTACAAATGCTGATAAAAACTCGAAGTTTCCTCGGATTGAAGCGTTATATATAATTGAATAAACAAAACATTCTAAAACTCACCAAATTTCGTTGCCAAGCTGAATTTCCGGAGTATCAGTCAGATACAGATACAGATTCGACTGATACTTCGAAAATTCAGCTTGGCGACGAAATTTGGTGAGTTTTAGAGTTTTTGTTTATTCAATTATATATAACGTTTCAATCCAAGAGAAACTTCAAGTTTTTATCAGCATAGGTATGTAAAAATCTTCAGTCACTACGTGTTCTACCTCGTAAGTCGGTTTGCGGAGAGAATGGTGCAAAATAAAGTAAGTGAAAAATAAACAAGCATTAAGTAAAATAAAATTACAGGCTGTAGTCAGGATCCGAACCTACGACCTCCCGCCTGCGAGGCGAGCACGCTACCGTTTGGCCATGCGGAACTGATAAGGATGGAGAGCCTCTATCACCTATGTTTACCTTGTGCCGCTAGCGCACGCGTTTTTTCCGCATCTTTAGCCCTTTTTTTGAGGGCTTTCCCGACCCCATTCGAAAAAACGAAAAAATACGGCATCCCTAAAATCATCTCTAGTATCTTCATGCGAAATTTCAACTCGAAATTCCGGTTACACTTGGGAAGCTCCCCTTGTCAGCTTTTTTTCAAAATCAGCTGACAGGAGCCATCATCTCACACGTAATACTATATATGTACGGCTACTGAGTACGACAACTTTACTGATCATGAAGAGGCATACCTTTCAAGATTCCACGACACATTAAACTGAGTAAAGTGTTGTAATAAAACTTTCGGGGCGGCAATAATAAAAAATTGACCACAACTGAAGCACCCTTATTATCTATTTTGAAAGTCAGTTTTCATCAAGGCACTCTTTACTTCCAAAAGATGTAAAAAAAATTCTTACAAATCACATGGAATTACTATCCAACTAAGCAGATACTTAGGTTCTTAATGAAAATAGAAGAATGTTAGCACCAAATCAAGAAACACAGAGGTCTTGTCTTAAAGTTGAGCATAGATATTCTGACATTTTTAAACTTTAAAATTGAAGATTAATAAAAAAATGGAATTATAATTCCAGATTTTTTAACCATTCAGATGAATTATACCTTTGCATCATCAGGAAGACATCCTGAGCTTAAAAGTGTCTCAAGCCTCTTTCGTTCTGCCGTTTCAAAACCTGCTTTGTGTTCCAACTCACTGACTTTGTCTTCCAATTCCAAAACCCTCTGTTTTGCTTCCAGACAGTTGACGGTCTCCTTCTCCAACCTATCTTTGACTCGGATCAAATTTGACTCGATATCTTCCTGTACACCCGAACAGAAAAAAAACCAAGAGGTAATGAGAAAAAAGTATAGAACAGGCACAACAGCTTAAGATACGTACATCCAAAACAGGAACTGAAAGCTATTCTCTGAGCCTCTTGTGAGAGTTTGCCAGAAAATGTCGATAGTTTTTTAAATGTTGATAACGATTTACATGATTGACTTTGCACAGTGTTAGGTAGGTAGGTACAGTTTTCTGCAAGTGGTGGGTAAATACATCAGTCTCAATCCATGAATTTTCACAAGCTGACATAGATTTTATAATCGGTAAGTAATTAGTTCTTGAAATACTTAAGATTTTTCTCCAAGCAGACAAGGTTCCTTTATGAAAATCTTAAGTAGGTACTTGATGAATGATTAAAACATATTTTCAAACAAACTGCGATTAAATTACTTAGAGACGCAAAACATATTCTCAACCAATACCTGAACGTTAATTAGGGCAAAACACTTGATTTTTTAAGGCGTTTTAAATACAAGAATGCTTGCTCCCTCAGTTCAGATGTTTTTCTTCGACACAAGGGGCACTTCTGCATGGATAATAAAATTAAGTAGTTCAGAATTTTCATACATCTAAAAATGGATGTAAATAAATGTTTAGATAAATGCTAAATAATTTGCATCTATCAAATCTTAAGAATCAGCCTCTAATTATAATTAGGACATACCTAAGTAAGTAGTTAATAAAAACATACAAATCATATAAGACATGTACAATCTCACAAACCTTTTCTTGCGTCCTTAGGTCTAATTCTTGTTCTTTCTTTGCTAACTTCGTGACAATCTCGGTGTTTTCTTTCTCCAATTCTTCTGCTTTCGTTCTTGCAGCAACGAGTTCTTCCTCTTTAGCAAGTCTACAAAAAAAAATGGATACAAAAATATGAAAAAGACAGTGAAACAGCTCCATTCAACCCCTCCTCCATGAAGAAGTTAGAAAAAATTGAGACAATGCACCCTTTTATATATTTTCTATGTGCATTATATTTTCTTAAATATATGGAAACCTACATGAATATTCACTCATATTCATTTTTTTCTCTTAATTGTACCACTCCTTCTTTTTTTCGTCAAAAATTAAATAGGTGAAATGTTTGACTTCTTAAAATGATTTATTTGTAAAATTAGGTAATTTTCTTTCTTTGTTTTTTGGTGAATTTGCCCATGTTGTATGTAAACACAGCATACTGACACCATACTCAACCTACTCATCATCAAAATTTTATTGAAATAAGTAAATTTGAGGGAATTTTAGTGCATGATTGATACTTACAAATGTACTATTTCCTTCACGTTTATACTAAGTGGCGAGACATCTGTATCTTCTCCACTTTCTGTTTGCATTGTCAGCTGTTGAACGATCCTGTCAAATAAGAGCCAATGCTGCGGTTGACATCCATAGTCCACTGAAAAATAATGGACATTTGAGAAAAATGATTATCGAGTAGGAATGGGAAGAGAAAAAAATTTGGTTCACTTATGTTCACTTCAGTTCAAAAGCCCTTGATATAGAATTCAACATTATAAAACCTGATTAAGTACAAAATTCATGAAAGAAATGGTTGAATTGAAAATGGGGAAAAAAAAATGAAAAGACTTTCCCGTGTCTCTCCCTTAGAACTCAATTTTAAAGGAGGGTAAGAAACAGCAATATTGTTATCAAGGTACAATATAGATGGCTAAATGCAAAATACGCATATTTTAACTGCAACATCAAAAACTGCAGATTAAGTATATTCCATTTTCCTCAATGAAAATTGATAAAAATATGCCTTTTTACAATTTTGTATGATTTTCTTTAGAACGAGTGGATAAAGTTTGCACAAAATTCCTATAGAGACTGTTGGTTAGTTTCTCTTTCCAAAAATAAAACAATGGCGGAGACTTACAACATTGCAGTCTGAGATATGCACTTTTTGACTTTAGTTACCGACAGGTATATAGCACCAGCAATGGAAACTTTTTATTGAAAATAATTTAGTGCAAACACAGTAAGTTCAAACTGAGGACTTTGCTGTGTTGCTGTACCTATTTTTTTGTCTTTACTTTACTGTAGTGTCAATTTAAAACCCTCATACCTTACTTGGGAGATTATTTCTGAATTTATTTGTACCTACTTCAGTCGTACCCTATTCGAATTTCAAAGAGATTTAGATTTAAATCATGCCTCTTTTTTTTTCGTTGAATTTTACATTTGTTCGACTGGCATATTACGTGCAGCAGAAAATCCCCCACACAGCAACTTTAAATTACATTAATCAAAATAATAAACACGGTTTCGAAAAACTTGATGCAAGTAAATACTTACAAGGTAACAATGTAAAGTGATGTAACAGGGACAAGAAATGAGGGTATGCGACGGAATGACTAAGTTTCCGTCGTAAAAGTTCAAACATTGCAGTCGCACTGTTTGTATCAACTTCCTCCTGAAATAATGACAGATAAACATTTTTTGTGAGATGCATTGAATATTCCAAAAAAGTACATAAATAACCCATGAAAACGTCTTTGAAGAATATGGAGTCTGTTCTTCCCTTCTTTGAGAGATTGGAAGACGGATACTAAATGAAGGCACAATTTTTAAAAAGCTTACTTGCAGAATCAATCAAATGATCAAATTAAAAAAAGAAAATTGGACAATTTTCCATTGAAGTTCTGCTTTATTTTTGTTTGACATAATACTTAACATACGAATTGTCGATAAGAGAATCTTAAAAGTTGAAATATGAGCGAGAAATCAAGGTAAGGGATAATCTTATGAGAAGATTCAGAATCTTGCAGAGCATGGCCGACAGAGCACAGAGGAGAATTTCATGAGCCGTCCTTCGCTGTCTGCAGCGCGCATGGCGCACGACCCGCCTTTCATTATTACACTTCATCTGTTGAGAGTTCACTAATTACTTCACACGACCAGTGTGTAATTTAAAAAAAACGCTTTCCAGCCACAGTGGAAACGAAAGGTAGATTTCGACTAATCGTTTCTATGAAAACAATTGCACCTAATGAGCCTGACAGGTCGCAAAATCGTCCCCCTTGAACTTGAAATTTTCCGGATAAGGAGTGATTTTAGAGGGTAGGTGAATGTAGGTCGTTTTGAAGGCCACGACGAGACGAGTTTTTTGACGTATCACCGACCAAGATCGGACGAGTTTGAAAAATCATCCCCCTTTGGACTTGAGATTTTCAGGATAAGGGGTGGTTTTAGAGGGTAGGTGAATATAGATCGTTTTGAAGGCCACGACGAGATGAGTTTTTTGACGTATCAACGACGAAGATCGGACGAGTTTGAAAAATCATCCCCCTTTGGACTTGAGATTTTCCGGATAAGGGGTGGTTTTAGAGGGTAGGTGAAGATAGGTTGTTTTGAAGGCCATGACGAGACGAGTTTTTTGACGTATCGCCGACGAAGATCGGACGAGTTTGAAAAATCATCCCCCTTTGGACTTGAGATTTTCCGGATAAGGGGTGGACCGATTTTCACGAAAAAGGAAACTTGATCTAGACCTCATAGCAGTGAAGAACCATGCTTAGTTTCGTTTTGATCGTACGGATAGTTCCGGAAAAAAACGGTCGCAAAGGTTCGTTAGATCCCAGTTATATATATATCGTACTTTTTTTATGACCCACATTTTTCAACTCAGGGCTTCAGGATCGATGCTCTTTGAGCGAAAATTCCGGAAAATTACGAGGTCGTACCGTCTGCAATAGGTAGATATTTCTTCGAAATCTACCTAAAAAAAATTACACGGTATACTAGTTTCTCCGCCAGGGAGCTCTCCCCGCAAGAAATTGGTCACCACCCGCCGCGGGGCGAGCGGCGGCGTGCTGCCAGCGCGGAACGCGCACTGACTCCTACAAACCTAAGGGGATACTTCAAGCAATGCGCAATGCGTGAAGTATCCCCTTAGGTTTGTAGGCGTCGGTGCGCGATTCGAGCTGGCAGCACGCCGCGCCGCGCAACGCTGCGCCGCAGCGTGCCATAATACCTAATCGAAATATATCGTGTTTGTAAAAGTGGAATTTATATGTCAGGGTATTAAAATGTGGGCAATTTGACATCGAATTCGAAATTAGTGAACCAAAAAACATCTGTGACGAAACTTTCGTGATCTTTCCGTCATTATCCGACTTATTTCTTCCTATTTTTGAGTTTTGGATCACAGTGCGCCGCGGGTGGGTGGCGGCTCATGAAGTTCTCCCCTGTGCTCAACCGGAGCGGAGCACGGCTAGAGAGCCCGCTTTTTCGAATTCTCCCTCCATTTACATCGCGCAGATTCGGCGCGCAGTGGACGGGAAGCCCCGTCTTAGCGCGCGCGCGAGATTCGAAATGACGCTCCTCTATAGCCGGAGCGTATACCCTGCCCCGCCCGACCGCCCGTGCATCTTTGCTGAAGTCGGTGACTTTGCGGCAATTAACAGAATTTTTGAGAATACGGGAGCGCGCACTGTTCGTTCCGATTTTTGTGGAGTTAATTGTTGTCCTCCAAAACACCTTAAATACATATTACTCAAGTTCTTTTTCAATTTTTTTTTCAGTATGAAATTTTTTGAGTTACAAATTGATTTTTACCTTTTCAAATTTTCTGGCCAGTTCTTTTTCATCTTCTTTGTGAACCATTTCGAAGAAATCTAAATGCCTGTGGAAAGAAATGAAAGGATTACAAATTGGCATGGGCACTAGATGTAATCAGCGACATGCAATGAAGATTTCATACTCCTTTGGTGCTAACCGCCAAAAATTGCACATGTAGGACTTCTTTTGTTAAATTAAGAGGGTTGACAACTACACTGCCCAAGAACAGGATCACGAAGGAGTAAAACTTAGGAATGGGTTAACTTTAAAAAAAAAGTCCATTTTCTTCCGTAGTTTTACTCTTTATTTTCATGTTGATTTTTCCAGAGGAGTAAATGACCTCTAATGTTAAGGCACCTTGTACAAATAAAGTCATTGTACTACCACTCCATGATTAAGTACTTTTGAAAAAGGTTTTTTTTTTAAATAATTCAAATCAGAAAATCAAGTTTTAACCACATATAGGTATAGTGACTTAATACACAACATACCTATGCATAAATATTTGCAAAATAATACTTCTAATGGTGTCAAAAAATGATGAAAATAAAAAAAAAGGTCTCATAAACATCACCTTTCATGGCTCAATTCTTTCCTTTTTTACGAACCAAGTATAACAATACACAACATTAGAGATTCTCAATATATGAGATCTGATAGAACATTTTGAACTTTTGGCATTTTCTTTATGATTTTCTGACATGGTTTTTGTGCTTCACACTACCTGTGAGCTCTTCAGCTGTTCAAAGGTAATATTAAGGGCTCACCCATTCATTTCATCATGTACTTTAATCTCTAAAATTTAAGATAAATAAAAATGGATCGAGCTGTGCCAAAAAGAACGTACCTGTCAAGAGTTTGGTTCTCATGGCTGCGTAATTTGTTAATGACAGGTTGAATTCCCAGCATAAGGAACTCGTAGCGGAGATGAAGCCTGAACTCCAGGCTATCCTGACCGGGCCCATAGCTGAGCACGGCGTTTATGAAAGACATTATGGCCGTTTTCAGGTTCACTTCTTCCCGATAAATGCCGGTACTCCGGTCCAAGTCATTTATGATACCCTGAAAAATTATGGATGAAACAGATCATCAGTTAGATGTTATTTCTTCTGTACCTGGAACGTGAGATCCTGCAGAATTTGTTCCTTTTTAAATCATGAAAATTTTTACAAAGCCTCATCAATACAAACATTTTTGGGAGTATAAGTAAAGTACTTGTCAAATGAGAATGTGCTGTTACTGTTAGTTATTGATTGCTTTGTACGCATGCAGGCCTTCAGGGTTTAATGAAGCATAGGCATATACTTTTTCTTGAACATACAGATATTTTATGTACTTCAAACAATCTGTATTTACGAGAAATTTACAAAATTTATTATTCATTTTTTGGATAAAATATTTCTCTTTTTGATCCTTAATTTTGTAAAAAAATTAAGTAATGATTTAACTTCTGACCCCCTCTCCGTGAATAACAGAAAAGTAGAAAAATCGTCACTCTAGGAAGTGTTGAATAGGTATTCGAATTACAAAGCCTCATCTTTCAATAAACACCTACCTGGAACCGGAGTCTTTCGGCTGCATATCGTTGGTAGTGGCTCATGGCCTGAAGCACTTTTTTGTGGCCACCAGGCACAAGACATACAGCTCCGAGGATTTCTAAAGCAGCCACTTTTGTCTTAATATTCTCTGTCGATAAACTCTGAGCTATTGTGTTGATTGCCGTTGGATGTGCTAGCACATGTGCCCGCCCGGTCTGGAAAGGAATAAATAAATAAGAGAAAACAGAAAAGTTCCTCGGTACAACAGAGAGTGATTTCAATAATTTAATTTTAAAAAAAGCTGAAATTTAATGATAAAACTGAAAAAGATCCTGTGTTTTACTACGATGTTTCAACCCAAATGCACTACCGAAGTACCGAACAGAGGCTAAAAGTGCCTTCAAACTGCGAATAGGCAACGATACGTTCTTGTCACGCAATTCACCTACTTTGCAATTTGAAGGAGTTTACTCTGGCTGTTGCTGGTTAATCGGTAAGACCTACTGTGTCCACGCTGCGGACTCGACCACTAGTTCGTATCGCGTTCTGAGTATTCTACTCTATGTTCCTGATACCATAGGCGAACTTTCTTTAAGAATCGGACCTGGAATTAAATTTTTGGCTGGTGTGAAGTCCGCCTTTCAAAAAAATTGTTCGACAATTTCAGATCAAAAATCTGATTGTTTTCAACTTCGGATCCTTCGATTTTTAACGAAGCTCAAACTTTAATAATTGTCATGCATCAACGATTAAAGTCAAAGACGGATTATATCCCTTGCAGTGTTTCAAAATTTCCGATCATGTTTGATTTTCTGCAATGAACACTAACCATGACATCATCCGGAAATTAGCTGTGAGTATTTTTGAGTGCGTAAAAAAATGCACAGACAATTTCGAGAAAGAAAACTGATGATCAGTTTTCTCTTTTTTAAATACAACAAGAGAAGAAGTGTGCAACGGAGATGGGTATTTTCCGACCTTCCTGGTAAAAAGCAGAGGTTATAACCCATGGCGTTTGGTCTACTGCGCTTCTGTACTTTCATTGATTTGTTTTCCCATTTTCCTTCTTTGTTTTTCTCACTTTTCTATTTCATCCCCTTCTAGATTAATTTTTGAAAACAAATTTCAGTTCCTGCAGTAGTGATTCTAGGAAACTGGCAACATTGTTTCTCCTCCATTGAAATCCGATAAAAATATCGATTCTAGGTGAGGCACTTGGCTTCGCCTACAATCGATTGTTATGCATGAATTTATGAGGAACCCCAGTGTTGCCAAATTACAAGCATCGCTATTGAGTCCGTGCAAGTTTTCTTCCTGTTTTCCTCTCCAAAAAAATTTTCATTGAGTTTTCCAGTGTGTCCCTGGACAAGTCAACCTCTGACAAAACTGCAAATGGAGAATTGGCACGCAATTTTTTTATTGCTTTATCTGAGATTGCTTATGGAGCAGATTTCGCAGTATTTTTGTAATTTTTTTCTGTAATGGGAAATAGTCTAAAAATTGATTTAAAAGTGAGAAAATGTGCAGCCTAGTGACGCCATCTGGCGGCATTTCCCATTTAAACGCATGTATTTTAGCAGATTAGATTATTCTGTCATATCACTTCCAATAATTGTTCAATTTATGTACCAAGGGTACCCTGTCCATTCAAACACGCAATTTATCAAATTTCAGACACCTACAAATCCTCCATTATTGATTCATTTTTAACATCTTGAAGGGATGAAAAATTTTAGTGGAGTGAGAGATTACCGAATTGTTCATAAGGGCTTTGACGCATCCAATGAGAGAGGTGTGGACGGAGGACTGGGCGGAGAAGTAGTCGAGGTCCGCGAGGACTTGAAGGAGAGTGACCAGTCCATCGCACTCGACGAAGCGGAGCACGAAGCTGTTGGGCTGCGTTCGCAGGGCTGTCCGCAGGGAGTCCAAAAGCCGCGTTCGGGTTAGAAGCTCCTCTTTGTCGGGGCCAGTCTCACTCGGCTCCCCTGCCTGGAAAAATAGATGCAAAAATTAGATACCTTGAAAACTCGACACGAGAGGTCCACACCGAAAAAAAGAATTTCGGCGGTTACTAGATTCCTGCGGAACTCTATCAAGCAGTTTTTCGAATAGAAATCTATAACTGGATGCCTGGATTACCTGGGTATTATTCATAATTAGAAAGAGCGANGCTGCGTTCGCAGGGCTGTCCGCAGGGAGTCCAAAAGCCGCGTTCGGGTTAGAAGCTCCTCTTTGTCGGGGCCAGTCTCACTCGGCTCCCCTGCCTGGAAAAATAGATGCAAAAATTAGATACCTTGAAAACTCGACACGAGAGGTCCACACCGAAAAAAAGAATTTCGGCGGTTACTAGATTCCTGCGGAACTCTATCAAGCAGTTTTTCGAATAGAAACCTATTACTGGATGCCTGGATTACCTGGGTATTATTCATAATTAGAAATTTGGTAGCTAAGTACTGAAATTCTTTTTTATTTGCACACGCCTTTGAATGAGCCAGTTGAGAATGTTACGGAAGCGTGTCTTAGAGAGCGTAGATTCAAGAGCAGGGGAAAATTATAGGATCCATATATATAGATGCATGTGTGCAGATGGGGTTTCATATTATGCCTTATCTGTGTGTCTTAAATATCAAATTGACGATTTAAAGATTTGTGATCTTTTTGATCACAACTGATTTCAACACTTTTGAACGTTTAAAAACTGATTTCACTGAATCGGAATAAAGATTCCATTGAATGGGTTAATAAAGGGTGCGAACATGAACCTCGTTGGAAGAGCGAAAAAAAATAAAGACTCACACATGCATGGGATGAGCTTTCGGTATTTTGTCTTTGAAATTTCTAGGTGATAAGTAACTTCAAATTTTGAAATAGACATAGAATTTTTTTTACTATATGAGGATTTTTCTCAATAAAATCATATTTCAATTTAACTCTTTTTCTTTTCAGAGAAAAAATAAAAGAACTTCGCTTCCTACTGCGAGGATGTACCTGAAAAGTGGCCTTTACACGGTCAAGGTAGTGCTCTGGCTGTTGATTCAAATCAGTAGTGTTTTCTTCATCCTGAAAAAATAAAACATATGGATAAAGCACTCATTTTTGTTCGGGCAATAAAATCGATTTAAAAGATTCACGAAACCTTAGGACCCATTTCTGAACTTGTTTGCAATTTTGTGCCATCAGTAACATGCACGGAGATTGATAAGAGAGGTGAATAAAAGTGTTTCAAAATCGCAGCAAGTGAATCTTTGGCGTGGAAGTATTCGACTCATATTAATGAAATATGTGTGCCACTATTACAATAATGTTGGGCAAAAAAAATATAGAAAAAATTTAACTCAATCAATATTTGTTTCGAAAATACTACATGAGTTCAAGTGAGAAAATGTTTTTATCCCAAGGCTCTGTATACATACTCATGATAGAAGTTTACTTATGCTATTCAGAAACAGAAGTCTGACTCATTATCAAGTAGAATTTAACCATCAAAATTTAGTTTTACAAGTGGATACTTTAAAAAACTTCATTTGTCATGTTTCATTTTAACAACCTCTTCAGAGCTGTTTACTATTTTTTCCCACACCATTACCAGCATGTGTTCCAGTATACTCTTTTCTTTTCTTTTTTCTGAAAATAAACACTTATCCATGTTTTACCTTTTTTCTACTGCAATAAATTTGCCACTTCTTCTCCGCTGGTAGGTCCAGCATTGCAGCTTTGTTCGGGGCCGTGAGATCAAGTTCCTCCTGGAATAAAAATATTAGAGTGTGCATTCTTGAGATATTCAAAATTGTTTATTATTGAGAGTAGAGATTTTATCATACACATTAGTGTCACGCACACATCAAAATCACATTTTTACTTTATTTTTAATGAAGCAAATAATCGAAATGATGGTTCTCAGAGAAGGATAATCAAACAGAAAAGTCCAGACGTAATAATATCAAAACTACAAAATTTTCATCAAACAAAGCACAAATCTAAGCTCAAGTTTAGAATTTTGCCAATAAATGCGTGTAAGTCCAATGCAATGTTAAAGTTTGAACTGTAAAACAGCCATTGTGACCCTAATCTATCAAAATTGCTTGTTCAGATACCATATTTTTTTATCCTGACAAAATGAGTTTAATGTAGCATAATGTTCTAATTTCAGTCCATTTAAAGAGCTTGTGCTAAATGATAGACCTTTAGTTTTGTGCTTAAAAAATGTGTTTTTTCATATCAAAGGGGATACCACTTTTAGTTTCTTTCTATGACGCTGGTGGGAGACAAAAATGAATGAAAACCAGCAGTTTTTCGTTCTTTTACTTTCCTACCCGTGCGTTTGAGTCTCCAAACATGATGTTTCTTAAGTTGGGCTTGTTTTTTTTTTTGTGACCGCATAGACCACAGTGCTGCCGTGCTAAGGTAAAACGCCGTATGAACCTTGGAGAGTTGCCAAATTTCCCTCGATAAAATATGTATTATTGAGAACATTCATGCGTATTTTTCCCTGAAATTTTCAGATATGAAAGATTAAATTGCGTACAAAATTGTCTGAAAATTTTGGAAAATAATATCCGGAATAATCCTAGTAAATTCAGTTTTTATCGGAGGAAACTTGGCAACGTCTGAAGGCTCTTACGGCGATCTTCCTTGGCACGGTAGTGAAGTAGTCTGATCGTAGCCTCGACTCACGGAGCGCCTAACAAAGAATTTTCGGACTAAAATTCAAAGAGAAAATTCAAAAAAGAAAAAGAAGCAATCAAACCATAAAATACAAAATACAGTATTAGCGAATGGTGTTATATTAAAGTGTCATTATAAAATACGTAACACTAAATGTCACAGTTTTTGACCCCTCCCCTCCCCCACCTATTCTCGTAACACTTTGCCTATATCCTTCACCACGTAAAAATAAAATGGCGTTACTATCTCCTCGATCTCCCCTCCTCCTCCCTACAAGGAGAAACATCTATGGCTTTTTTAACCAACTAGCGGATCATATGGAACACCACTAATAGCCGCAAATGAACTAATGATTCTCGGTCTGTGAACCATAATAAAGTATCTCGTACCATACTGAGGTATACCATAACTAAGGTGGTGTGCTATTATTGTATGTTGCCTTTACTACTATTATCGGTGTTCCATATGAATCACAGATTGGATTATAAGCCATAAATTTTTCTCTGTGTAGAGCGGCACGAATTGTATGAAAGAAAAACGCCAATTTTTTCTTGTTGAGTCGGATGATTTTTCTGTTATGTCGGATGATTTTTCTGTTGAGTCGAAAGGGTGCGTGGACTTTGGGATATTAAAAATAAAAAGGATCACTTACGACGAGCTCAGCGAACATAGTGTTGAGCTCCTCTTCTGCGGGCATGGGTTGGGTGGGCGTGAGGGTCTGTAGGGACAACGTGCCCTTGTTGTCCACCACACAATACGTAATCTCCGGTGGTTCGTCATCCTGAAACACAAGTAGGGAAAAGTATAAATAAAAGGCTACATATTTAATGCGATATATTTAAGCATTACTTTCTTGAGGTGATTCGATGGACGCCATATTTTGTTCAAAGATCCAATGTTTTCTGTGTAGTTCAAAAAACTCCTGGATTACAAATAGTTTGTATGACCACGAAAGACTGGGAAGCACCACTTCAGATCACATTCAGCATCTACCACCAAAATCTTTCGTAAATGTCACAATGGAAAGTGGCGGCGTTAATCTAAACAGTCATCCTTTTAAAACGCAACACGTCACATACGGTTATTACTTAATCTAATTTTCCGGCACACTCTTCTGGACAAGGGGCACTTTCGAAGTGAGTGCCGCAGGATCGTCCATTTGTCCGCTTTGACAAAGCGTCGATACATCCGTGACTGTCGTTTGTCTACAGTTCCGTGAATGATCACTCGCGTGTCCTTAGTTGCCTGAGTTGTCCTTCCTGGGAGATATTTCACCCAGTTGAAACGCTTTGACCATACAACTCCTTGCAAATGACCCTTCAAGGAATCAAAATGAGCTTTGCGCATTCTTCAAAATCGAATGCCATACTTCGGCAACTGACCAACTTGGAAAAAGGGAAAATGTCGTTTTATCACAGGAATCATGTTTATTAGGGCCACATACATTTTTATTTATTAATTTTTTTGGTTTTACGCAGAAGAGATAGGCACCAATTTTTGTTAATTAAATTGACTTGATAAAATCTTCCCGGTAAATTTTATACGTATTTGAATACATAAATCTTTCTGAGGTAAATACGTCATTTTGTACTCTCGAATGTTACTCAAACATGAATTAAATCATTTCGAAAGAGAAGGTTGGGGGGACATATTTTTAATCTCAAAAATAGAGTGGCGGGAGTGAACATAACATTTAGGACCACGATAGAAAAGAAACCAGAGTTCACAAAGTTAAATAAGTATGCCGATTTTTGTTGAGTTGGGTGAAAAAAAAATTGGATTTTTAGATTTTAATTGAAACCCCTCTTTAGTGTTTCAAAATGTAGGTTGCAATCGGTTAATTTATTTAGATGCCAACAATGCCAACAGTAGGTATCTAAAAATGTCACACGTTGAATAAGAGTAAGTAGGATTTCAATTCAAACAGCTAATTCTTGAAAATACGCCTTTTAAATTGCAAACTTCAAAACTTTAAACTATAGTCGGGTATTAATGACTGAATTTAAGATCTTCAGAGACTACACTCTTGGACATTTTTGATAATTAAGTTAGTCCGTGTTTACAGGCGAACGTGACAGATTCGATACTGTAATTCCCAAAGCTCGCGTTGTTGACAGTATCAAAAGAGGAAAACACAGAGCACCATATTAGAGCCATCCCATTTTGATCCATCGTTTTTAGCACAATGCGGTGTACGGTCATGCCAAGAAGTTCGTGTTAATCTTAGAAATCAAGTGTTTTAAAACAGTAATCGTTTTTAAATGACATTTGAATTTATGAGAGAGCACGATGAACAGTAGTTCAAGTGATTCATTGAGGGATATGCTTAGCTTCTAAGATGCTTCATGGGTTTTTAAAACTTGGCGCCGCGGGACGGTTTGGTGGTGGAAAGCAGCGTCCTTGACACGCCGGAAAAACGGGACCGGTTTCCAAATCGAATCGCAACCGCGCGTTCGTCGTTTGATCTTACGCGTACCGTTTCAAACACGCTTAATTAAAGGGCCACAGACGGAGAAAGTATTGGATATATGCCAAGTTGGGCTGAAAAACCGGGGTTCCAGGGATCGAGAAAATGCTGGATCTAACAAATAGATCGTATTCGATACATCAAACGGGTGTTTTTGTATCGATATCGATTGGTTCAAAACATAAACATAGCCTCAAAAGTAAATTCAGAAATCTGAGAGAACGGGTCTTTTGTAACAGATTATTTATTCTTTTGAGTACCAAATGCCAATGCGAAGTGAAATTGTCAGGAAATTTCTCATTTTCAGCTTTTCCAACTTAAATCCTTACAGTTTGGTTTGAGGTTATGTTCTATTGTTTTGAACCAAACGATACACCTAACCGTTATCGAATACGGTCTATTACGACGTGACGGGAAACTGAAAGAAAAGTTTTGGGAGATTTTTGACATCTTTAGACATGCGGGATAAGATCAAATCCTTATTTAACGGGAGTTTGCCGAAATTAGAAGTAAGATAGACGGGAAAGGGATGTACCAGTGGCGTGGCGTGCTTTGCGATACATCGATTGTTATGCTGTTTAAACCTATGGAAAAGGATCGATAAACAGAGTGTTCGCTGCGAACACCTTTATAATCGATTCTTTACCATAGGTTTAAATGGCATACCAATCGATAGATCGCAAAGTACGCCACGCCACTGGGATGTACGTCTAAGATAATGAGACCAAGTTAGGAGGCCGTTTGAGACCCAAGTGTCATTCTATGAATAAGATTATGTCATACTTCGCAATACTTCGGCAATAGCTTTTACTATACTTACTTCAGTAGCGAATAGAAATAACCTCACAGAGAAGCGAGGTGGACAAGTATAAATTATTCCATCCCTTTCACCAAAAAAATGAGACTTTAAGAATTAGATTAACAAAAGCTCTGCGGCGATTCCATACCCACACCTTCGTGCAAGTATTTTTCAGTAACAAAAACATTCAAATTCCTCAAAATAAGGTGTAAACGACAAACGTACGTACATTCATCTCGTAGTACTTAGAGGCTTACAGAGGGAACATGAAGTTTTGTGCTACTATGTTTTACTGATAACTTAAAAAGTTCTTCCTTTATGTTTCAATTTTTAAGGACAATTTTTTTTTCTCTCCAGATACACAGAGCTCTAAATTTTCAGAAGAAGACGCGCCACGCAATTGAAAATTGTGTTATATCGCTGGAGTAAGTTTTAGAAGAAGTTCATTGCCCAAAGTCTTGACAACGCTGCACCAAGAACCACGCTCGATGTACAGTCGGATAAACACACGCTTGCTTCGGAGGGGGAGGTGGTGTTCAGGGACGAATTATCGAAAGTTACGATTGAACGATTCGATTTGGTGCTTCTTTTCCTCGCTTTCCCACTCTTAAGGATTAGGATAACGGTAGTCACGTGGCGAGGTGACTATGAGGTGTAATGTGGATATTGAAGTGCAAGACAAGAATCTCGGGTGGAAGAATGGAAAAACACCATAGACACTGAAAGTATGAGGCCTAGGTTCAGTTGGCCTTGACTGAGATGTCATGGTGATATTGATATACGAGTAATTGGAGCAGGCTCGATCTTTGGTTGAAAAAGCGCTGATACGATTCTTGTTTTACGCTCCGTGGGAGTACAAAATAAGACTTTTAGTTTAATGCTTTGAATTGTGGGTTGGTTGACCACAGGTGTAGACGTTTCCTACTACTTGAAGTTTATTTTCTTCAAGTCCTTTCTTCAAATTCTCTTCAGAATATCATGAAGGGTAATACTTAAATGACATTGAATTCTGTCTTAAGATACCCGCAAGTAATTTAAAAAAGGTGGTAAAAAAGAATCGTGCGGCTGCAGCGGTACGATTTGCGCGCTGATCCACTGACCGTAGGATCATTATGGAGTTTTTCAAACTCATTACTATTAATGTTTTCTCATTTTTAAGAACGTTACGTGTAAATGCTCTTATACAGAGCAAAAACGCCAAAACTTCATTCAAGATTTTGCATTTTTCATCCTCATAATGTTTAATAACAAGAAATTTAAAACTCATTATGTTTTATCTTGTCAGTTTAATTAAGTTCCTGGTGGTATGCCTAAATTATTTTAGGATTACGGAGGATGGGTGAATGTCAGTTTTTACGGAATTTTAAAGTAAGTCTGGAAAAAAATTGGAACATTCTAGAGTGAGGTCGCGGTGTTTTTACTTTGATGGACGATGTAAGATTTTGAGAATAAACACTAAAACGTGGCCCAAACCGTGCGTAAGAAGGTGATAAAATGATGCTGGGTCCACACCATTATGCGGAGAAAACAAAGCTAAAAAGTTCAAAAATTTCAATTAGAGTAAAAATTGTTGAACTCTCATGAACGCCAGTACAAGACTGAGGGGAAAGAGTGTTCAGCTCAGGCAGTTTGTAAGATTTTGTTGCAGTGAAAACTCGGATGTAGAGATCTGATGAAAATGTTTAGTCAAAGCCCACATTTCTCTATATTTCGGGCGAAGGAAGTACTTAGATATACTGCTTTCATCGATGTTGTAAAACAACCTGCACCACTTTTAGCTTATTTATTCCTCTTCACAGCTCCTCATCTAAGGGTGCTCTGATGACCTATTAGTACCGTGAAAATGGGAGCTTAACCAGTCATTTATCTTGTTCTTGAATTCGTATTCGTATTTGGGTTGTACTCTTCCTTCTATAGATGTTTTTTACCTATTGGCTCAATTTGTTTACCATCTGATTTTTCGCTTAACCAAGCGGCAAGAGTACAAGTCACCGGCAGACTCCCCGGAGTCAACATACAAAACATTTGCTCACGGACATCTTACGCACAGAGCATGTAAATCGACGAACAATACGCTTAGATACCGAGACGAATTGCCATTGGACGTATTTCTGCCAAACGGAATTATGTGCATGAAGACATGAGCCCTGAGACCCATAAGAACGTTTGAATAATAGGGCTCATGTCATAATGCACGTAGTTGCATTTGGCAGAAACACTTCCCATTGCAAGCTACACTGCCGCCAAATTTACGGGAACGAAGTGAATACCGCAAGTCTAAGAATGCTTCATAAAGCGAGAAAATATTGTGGGACTCTGAAACATTCTTAGCTCAATAACAGCTAGTATTTATGGGCGATACAACTTAATGAGAGTTGAGAAGAATTCCCTATTATTTTCTTATAATTTGTACTTTTATCTTCTTAGATTTTTCTTTTTTTTACCATGGTAGGAGTAGTTTGGCTGGTAACCAGTACGGCTGACGGACCATCGGTAAAAGTCAGTAGCACATATT